TATATGTCTGTTTTTGTACCAATACCATGCTGTCTTGATGACTGTAGCTCTATAGTATTGTCTGAAGTCTGGGAGAGTTATTCCTCCAGCCTCTTTCTTTCTCTTCAGTAATGCTTTGGCAATTCTAGGTCTTTGATTGTTCCATATAAATTTTATTATGATTTGTTCTAGTTCTGTGAAATATGTCCTGGGTAATTGGATAGGGATTGCATTAAATCTGTAGATTGCCTTGGGCAGTGTGACCATTAATAGCATACAATTCTGGTACAATTTAAGGCAGAAACTAATAAGCCCATCTGGAGCCCATATCCAAAGGGGGCTTGACTCTTTTAGTCCATTTCCTCAAACATTTATGGAGTTCACTATGTTGTCCAGTGTGCCCAGGAAACATAAGGGGAAAATGAGAGTCATGTAATGAGTTGATTGATACAAGTTTGGAGTTAATATTTACTATTAAGTTAAATATAATCTATCATATACTATTAACATAACCTACAGTATTAAGTATAAAATAAAATATAGTGTAATGTAACATTTGATAGGTAAACCAAGAATCTTAATTGTATATTTACTATTAAGTTAAATATAATCTATCATATACTATTAACATAACCTACAGTATTAAGTATAAATAAAATATAGTGTAATGTAACATTTGATAGGTAAACCAAGAATCTTAATTGTGGCTTGTGGACTCGACTTGCTACCTTGTTTGGGCAACTCATCCATGGCCTTCCTAGGTTTCACAAACTATAAATTATCTGCCTTCCTTATACTATAGAACAGTTGTTAAGTTGTAAATGTAGGCAGAAGTCTTTGCCTTTTAAAATGCAAATGATGAGATTAAGATAATGACCAGTATCATAGTAGATTAATGAGCAGTGACATGAGCACATACTAGGGCCAACCCTGAAGTAGCTTTGTTCTGCTCTTGAGAATGTGTTACTTACTGGTGTATCTTTTAAACGTGCTTCAGTCGCCCATAGCGGCAGGCAGGCTGTTCAGGCAAGACTGGCCTCCGGTGGCAGTGCACTAGAAATCCCGACTGTGGAAATGTTTTCCCATAAAATAAATCTTCTCTTATCTGAAACGAGATTGCATACTTTGGAAACAGTATGGTGGTTCCTCAAAAAATTAAACGTAAAATTACCATATGATCCAGCAATCCCACTTCTGTGTGTATAGCCAGAAAGATGGAAAGCAGGTCCTCAAACAGATAGTTATACACCAGTGTCCAGGGCTGTATTATTCACAGCAACCAAAGGTAGAACCAGCCCAGATGCCCACAGACTGATAACTGATAAACAAAATGTGACATACACATCAAATGGAATGCTATTCAGCCTTAAAAAGGGAGGAGATTCTGACACATGTTACAAGTGTAGTAAGTCAGACACAAAAGGACAGATGTTGTAATATTTCACTTACATGAAGCACCTACAATAGTAAAAATTACGGAGACAGAAAGTAAAATGGTGGTTGCTGGGGGTGGGGGAGGAGGAATGTGAAGTTACTGTTTAGTGGATACAGAGTTTCAGTTTCGGAAGATGAAAAATCCTGGAGATGGATGGTGGTGATGGTTGCACGACAGTGTGAATATACTTAATGCCACTGAACTATACACTTTAAAATGGTTAAAACTGTAAATTTTATGCTTTGTATATTTTACACAGTTAAAAAGGAAATGTCATATTTCCTCCTTTGAAAACAAGAATTTTTGGCTGTTGGAGTTTTCTAGTAAGTGAAAAATAGAGAATTTTGAGAGCGCTTCGGCTTGTAAACTACGAAGTAGAATTTTTAGAACCTCAGATTCTAACAAAGTTTACCTGTTTTTATTATTCAAAGAATTGTTTTTTAATTTTTTTCAGTGAGAACAGCAAGCACATGTTTTGCACTAAATGGTCTTTTCAGAAGTGTGACATCCAAATCTGGATTCTTCTATTTATATCAGAAAGCAATGTGGAGAACTTCTGTATCTTAAAATGAATATTACATTGTTTTCAGTATGATATGTTTTTGATGCAAAGTTTTTTTTTTAATTCTAGTCTGAAAATTGGCAGGCTTTGTATATTTATAGTAACTTTAAGCCAGAGACTCTTACCAAGCGGAATAACAGAAACTATTGCATCCCTCATACCACCTTTCTTCTAAAGAGTCCATTTAACTTTCACGCTTATCACCTTGTGTTCTTAGTATAATCTTAATGGCAAACAGTTTTATAAATGGAGAAATTAAACACAGAGAAGATACCTGACTTTTTACTGTTAATGCCCTGGCTGTAATAGACATAGGATTAATTCATTGAGCAATTAAAGAAGATGTACTTTTCTATATCAGCACCTTTCTAGGTGCTGGGCTACCAAACCATAAGTCCTGCTTGTCAGGGACCTTTTGGGGGTGGGGAGGCCGCCTGAGGGGCAGCGTGCTAAGTGCTCCAGTGGGGTCATCCTCAGTCGCCAAGGGGATGGGGAGAGGAGGCAAGGAACTAGTCTGGAGGCCAGTGAAAGAGCTGGAGGGAGCTGAGGCTTTAACCCAGACATGAAGGATAAGTAGGAGTTACAGTCAAAGAAAAGGTACAGACAAAGTCAAACATCCAAGAGCTTCTAGCCCATTGTTCTTTCCACCAAATCCCCTAGTGCTAGGGAAAAATAAAATTTTCAAAATATACTTGTACAATATGCATGTACTAAACATGTCAGGCACCACCTCGTCAATCCTTTTCGTTTTGCAGATTTAAAGCCTTGAGAATTAAGGCGTACGATACCGTTGCCTCATTTCAGTGACTTTAGCTGGCCTGTGTCTGCTTTCTCCTTTCACCGGCCCGAAGGATGCTTATGAAATCAGAGCTTCCTCTAGTGTGCTGGCAGCATCCCTGAGGGTCGCTCTGAACTTCACACCACCCCTATGTTTCTGTGCCTCTCACAGTTTCACAACCAAAGACGAGCTGGGGAAGGCGGCGCCTCAGCTGTTGACTCCTGGGCTGATGGGAGAGTCTTCAGAATCCTTCAGTGCCTCAGAGGACGAAGGCCAAAGGGAATACCAGGCCAATGACTCTGACTCTGACGGGCCTATCCTGTACACCGATGACGACGAGGACGAGGATGAGGACGAGGATGGCAGTGGAGAAAGTAAGGATTTTTTCAAGAGGTAGGGAGGGCGTAGGTAGGGGGTGGACGCAGCTGCATTTTGTAAAGAACAAAAGCCTCATCAGGAACCAGACACCTGATGTCATCTTTCCCCTCATCTTTCTCAAATTAGAAATGTGTATATTCTAAGCTTTTTAGCTTTAGATGACAGGCCTTTCTGGAAGATGATTCCACGGGGCCGGGGGAGTCAGTCTATCAGGTCAGTATGCATATTTGAATTTGTCCAAAGTGTCAAACGACAAGAGTTCTTTCTGAGATTGATCCAAGATGGCCCTTCCCCCTGGGGCCTTTCTTGAGTAAAGAGCATTGCAGGATTCACTGGATTACTCATTGGAGGTGTCTGAGAATTTCACTCACTTTTATACTGTGGCTTAAAGAGGGAGGGAGGGATGAGTCAAGAATGACTAATACCTTTTAAAGAATTAAAAACAGTCACTCCTCCGTGATAAGTAAGACAGTATGCCTTCTAAGGAGGAGTGATAGTAAAGTGGATAAAGCCAACCATTTATGTATAACTTAGCGAACTGGAAAATGCTCTTTTTTTTATAAGTTTCTGAGAAGAATGACTTGGGAGGGGTTCACCATGAAACAACTCAGAGATTATGAAAAGTTATTAGTATATTCGTGATTAAACAGCAGTTTGTCAAATTCCTTCTAGTTTGTACTGAACAACAAACAATCATTATCAAACAACAGTAAAATCGAACAACAAAAATCATTCCATGTGGTATAGACAGTCCTCTGTTGAGATACCAGGGATTCCTGGGTAACTTAGGATGAAAACAGTGGTCTTGAAGGTAGGCTTTTGTCAGTGTGGTTTCTGAGTGGAGGAAAGGAAGTGTAGGATTTACTACATAGAATAAGCAAAGGGGCCAAGTCCTTAAGACCTGAAAAAGAGAAGAAAGAAGAGGCATTGTGCAATCAGTAATTTCCCTGATCCGCTTTCTCAGCAGAATAAACTTCAAATATCACTTTCCAAATGATGAGGTGATACTTGCAAGTTCTTTCATGGTTCCTCAGCATTTTTCAGAACATTTAAAAAAAACAAAAAACAGTTCTTCAGTTTTTCAAAATGAACTCCGTCCAAGCCGAAACTTTTTTCCTTTAGGTTCATTAAAATTCTGCTCTTGCATGTGGATAAAGAATTTGGTCTGGACTCTGTTGAAAGTCCTTGCCGCATGTAACCTGAGTGCTGCTTGCTAAAAGCCTTTCTCTGCATTTCTGCCTTTTCCGATCTTCAGGTGCTTTGGCAAGTAAAATTCGACGAAGGGATACTCTTGCTATCAAACTTGGCAACAGACCATCTAAGAAAGAACTAGAGGACAAAAACATCTTGCAGCGTACATCTGAAGAAGAGAGGCAGGAAATCCGACAGCAAATTGGAACCAAGCTAGTCAGGTAGTTGCTGAAACCTGGGGACAGCACTAATTCATACTTTTCTCCCACCTATGGTTCCGT